AGCCAATCGTCATGAATCCACCGAAACGTAGGTGCGGACAGTTATCAGTGATATAGCACGCCAAATCGGGAGCATCATCCAAGGATAACCCTGAAAAGCACAGCTTCTTGGCACTCCCATAGAGTTTAGAAAGACAATTAACTGCAATAGAAAAACAATACTATCTACCTCCCTTCTGATCTTCATGACTTGTGTTCACCTGAACAAATACATCCAATACACCTTTCCTCTTCTCCATTTCTTTATTAAACATGTCGCAATGTTTCTGACTCTCAATAGTTTCAACGCAGTACAGTGAGGGAGATGAACATATTTTTCCTATCTAAATCATTGAAGTAAGTGGACGATGATGTAGGAAAACTTGAAACTACCTTATTGGACTGAACCTTCCCGATGTAATGCCATTTGATCTCGGGACAGCTATCTTGGAGAGTGTGAGACTTCTCCTCTAGCTCCTTAAAGCATCTCAAAATAAGTCTGAGAAATGAATATTAAAAATATGGGATTGTCAGTGAAAAGCGAACGGCGTGATTTCTCATGCGAATGAAATACTATGGAATTTATTCTATAGGAGAGAACAGGACGTTTCCGGACACCTCCCATCCGTGCGCGCTTTATCAGCAGCGTAGAAATGCATTAAGAGATAGGTTAATAGAATTATCGACAGTTAAGCATGCTCCTTTGTTAACAGCCGTTCGTATGAAAAGAATGGCTGGAAACATTCCTACAGTAACCAAATTACTACCTCACGATCAGGATCTCTCTGACTCAATTCCAGTTAAAGTTGGATAAAAATTGGGTCTTTACTCTGCCCACATCAAGAAATGGCGACATATTTCAATGTCAAATACCGCTTAATAGCTCAAAGAAAAATCCCATGCTTTCTTCTAAGCGAATTTCTCTTTCCCTTGGATAAGATAGAAACATAAACGATTATTGAAAATTAAATAGCAAGCAAATGTAATTGGTAACGAAAAGAACAGCAAGATTATCATACCTGCACATAATTCTCTCCAAAGTGTCTCTGACCAATTTCATAGCATGCAGCAACGAGTTCAGCAGGTTTCGTTTTCGAAACAGCCACCAAATTACATCGCTTCGAAAGAGTCGATTTTGCACACGCATCACGAATCAATTCAAGCACAACCCGAAAAAAAATTGGAAAACATATTTTTATGGGGCAAGCAGAAAAATTGGAAAAAAACTCTAACTTTTATGTTATCCTGCACAGCTGTTGTCGCCATCTTCATTTATTGAAAAGACTGGGAGAAACCGTTATATAATGGAATGTTAGTATAAAGTGGTACTGAGAAAGTGAAAAAGCTATGACACTCTTGGTGGAATCGCAGTCTTCGACGTGATTAAAGCTGCTCCAAGTAAACAAACTTGCCCTTTAAAGATCGCCTACGACGTCGCACGCGGCATGTCATAAATCATTTTCAATGTTGTTGTTGCGTCCATCCTTTGTTTCTCGTTCTTCATACTTCCTCTTCTTTTATTCGATTTTCTTGCCTGACCATTTACGAAGAAATCTATGAATGGCATAAGAGTCGCTTGATTTTTATGTGTGCAAAAAGCAGATCAACGCCAATGTATTGTTGACCAGGTGCCTCCATCAAATTCTTTTCATC